GTTCCTAGTATCTGTTGAGGTTATTCATTTTGTAGTGGAATATCCTGAATAGAAGTTAGGTACCTAGTTACACTTTTTAAAGATAAACTCAAAATTACCAACCAGGGAAATAAAATAATACTAACGTTGGTTGCTTCCAATAGCATGAAAATTGCGCAATCAACAGGAACTTTTACTGGCAAAGTTAAATTAATATGGAAGGGGTATTGGAAGCCGTACGATGACGTGAGCCCTACCTTCTCCAGTTACGTACGGACGGGGAACAGAGCTGCTAATAGGTAATTAAGAAAACTAAAGGAACCCCAACTTGTTTGGACCTTTCTCGTGTAAATAAATATCGGAAGGTAAACGTATTAACTTATATAATATTTCTAATGTCAACGTCGCTGGTTGCGTAAGTCATTGGTCATATTATACAGGTACAAGACTTAACTAGAATTACGAAAGTGAAATGTTTCTAGGACAATAGTATTGTTAGAGAATGTCCTTGCTTGTTAAGCAATCGAATAAGTAGCTCTAATTAACTAAAAGTGTCGGTCTCCTGTTTTAGTTAAAGGTTAAAGGGCATTTGATCAATCCACACTACACAAGAAAACTAGTATTGGTTAGATTATAAACTAAACTAGTTAGCTACTTCGATTAGGTCACTGATAGTCTAAGTTTAATAGACTCCTCTGATCTGAATTGAACTAGTTCATACTGGAATTGGTTAACGGGTTGCTAGTCAACTGTGTCTCTAAATAAATAAAATACTTAATAGTTTGAAGTAAACATACGCAATCAGCTATTTACTAAAAATATTACTTGCTTAGCATGGATATAAATATATTTAAAAACAGTATTTTACAAACTAAGTTCAGTTAGATAGCAACTTTAAAATTGGGATACTAGATCACTGCCAATGTTTCTCTTTTGTATTTTTCCGTAGTTAGATAACTAAAAGGTTTAGATAAGCATATTAAAACTCAACAAAAAATAACATACAGAAAAATAATAAGTCTCTAACCTATTACCTAAGTAGACAACATAAAGTTATTTTGAAAATATTTCTAACATTATTATTACGAGTAATTCAAAACAGCGCGTGTCAATGGCGTCATTATGTCAACTCCAGAACATCTTACTGACTTACTTATATGTTAAGTTAGATAAAACTAAGTTCATTACATTTAGGTCAATGAGATACACTAATCTTATCTGATAAAGTTTGGAATTCTGCGTAACAAAGCTGAGATGTTGTGACGCCATAGATAAAATGACAAACGCCCGCCATTTTGAAAGACACTTCCCGCCAATTTTTTTTTTTAATAAAACCTACGGTAACCAAATAGTTTTAAAGAAAGAATAAGGTTAGTGGCATTGTATTGTTTGACCCAACTTTTGTGTTTATTGTTGAGAATCGAGTGAATAACCCAGATTAACCTAGAGAACCATTTAATTTGTTTACCAGAGTTATCTTGAGTTGATAATGAACTACTTCATGTTACGTATATCCACAATAATATAAATGTAGATAACTACAAACTTGGTCGGTGCAACAAACTGCAAGAAGTTAAATGACCGCTTTTAGAGATAATCGAAAGATTATTGACCTGTTTATAAATGGATACCATTATAATTTACGATCAAACTTTTTTTTAATCTTTATTTTACAAATATAGGGTTTTTTATCAAACTTTATTGTAAATACTTTATACTCATTTATGCATGTGCCTATGTTAACGGATTAACGATGTTTTTATTATTTATAAAACATGCAAATTGTAAAAGAAATAGAATATTTATGGATTTTATGCATGTTTCCTTTCTTTCTTTATAAGATGACGTTTATTTTTAAGAATATGTCGTCATAAAAAATAACGAAATAGTCTGTGAAACTCGTAAGATAAGTGGTGTATAATTTCGCCACAGCTTTCAAGCCTTCGATAGCTCAGTTGGTAGAGCGGTGGACTGTAGATGTTAAATAAAATTGTTATCCATAGGTCGCTGGTTCAAATCCGGCTCGAAGGAATTCTTTTTACCAATTTTTATTGGTTTTATTTTGTTAAGATTGCCAGCGCGGTAACATTGTCATTTTTATAATCATTATCTATCTAAAGAGGATTACAGCTATCTTTCTATTGAAGATAGAAAAGCAAAACATAATAAAAATATAATGATAATATAAATTATTTATCAAGTAAATTCCAGTTAACTATTGCATTTTCCAGGTGAGCTATTTACATATATTGTTCTTTATCTTTTACATTCTTAAATTCGAAGTTACTACATAATTAAATTAATTTATTATGTGTGCTACCTACTTGTAATAAAATGATTCCCTTGATTGCATAATTCATAATATTTTTTAACAATAAACTTATTAAAGGTAAAAATCAAGGCAATAACTAAACGTCAACTAGACCGATCATAAAAACCATTAAACTACAATGAATTCGCCCTTATTTGTGTAATATTTATTAATGAAATGTATAAAAAGTATTTTCTAGCTTTTACAATTCGCAAAATCAATAAAGTGATAAAAAAGTGAACTGTTTCCGCCCGGGATCGAACCGGGGACCTTGTGCGTGTGAAGCACACGTGATAACCGCTACACTACGGAAACGATGGAAGCATTGGTGAAATTATAGATTGGTATTTAATTATATTGGCGTGTAATTTTTTTTATTTATTGTGTGCGTTTAATAATATAAATAAAAATTCCTAAAAATACAAGCACACAAATTAATTTATAACATTTCTACTATTTTAATAAAATAATTAAACTTAACAATCCCTACGTGATGCACTTAAAACAAAAAATATTCTAAACTTACCTTTGCGAATGCACTTGGCAGAAAAAAAGTTGCACAGAAAAAAAGAAATTGAATTTGAAATTGGAACACAAGTCACAAGCGCCCTCTTAGACGACGCTTGGAAGCAAGTTGGTGTGAAACGGGAGACATATCGTTTTTATACCATCGCAAATTGCATGGCTATATTGACCACCCGCTTGAATATGGTTCATTACTTCCATCCCATGGGTGTGTTTATGTCTAATTTGTAATTGTGTTCGCACCCTGTCTTCAAGCTCATCTTTTACTTATACAACTAAACTTATGTAGGCACACTCGTCTGCAATGATATCGCTTCCAACCGTATACATTGCGGCACGAAGCTTCAAAAATGTAGCTACATTATTTCCATAAGCCAGCAATGTATTGCGAATCCGAGCTCATGTCTTGTATAACAATTTTGCCAAGAGACCTCCCACGTCATGTAGGTAATGATTATTCTCGTCTGCTAAAGAAAATGCGAGTAAATTACTTTTCATCTATTTTTATTCACAATCTGTGACGAGATAGGGTTAATGAAATCGAATATTTTAATGCAGACTATATTTTAACGAAATAAATAAGGTGCGAAGGTACCTATGTAATATAATAAAAGAAATAGTCGTTTTAAATAATAGTAATTGTATTTTCTTTTTCTATAATTTAATCATACTAGTGGCGCCATCTAGGAGATCAATCGTAACTAAAGTCCTTGAAGCTTGTTTTTTTTGGTTCAGATATCAAATAGGACGACCAAGGGCTTTTCCTTAAACTGTGTGAATAATGATTAGAATGAGTAAGGACCATCTGAGAGAAAGAAAATATATTTGCCATCTACCTAGTTACCCACCTAAGATGAGAAAGAACCTTTCAAACTATCCATGAAGTTATTAAGACTTCGACTGCCAATAAAAAACTGTTGAAGGTAAATCCTCCGCTAACGCCGGTCACAGGTGACCCCCATGGCGTTTAACGTGTTAAAATAAGGTAGAAAAATAGTTCCAGTACCTGCCTAGACTGAGTACTGCCAGTCAATACTGGCTTTTTATAAAAACGTAAATAAATATTTTAATTTAAATCTTATAAAAATCTGTACGTTCCCACTACAGACAAAATTTACCAGACTTGTCAAATTTATCCATTGCATTTTCGACTTTATAGTAATAAAATAAAGTTGAAGAGAAATTTGAAAGAAAAGGATAGGTTGATCTACTGCCCAATGTTCAATAGCCACCATTACCGCAATAATTGAGTACTTTCCTTAATCAAAAATAAATTATTTCGACTGTACAAACAATAAAATATTAAAAAATAATCACCGTTTAATTATTTGATATTATGACGAACTTAATTTTAATAATATTTTTCCAGCAAATTTTCAAGAAATAAGTACGTTGTTTGACGCTAAAAAACGTGACGTCACCATTCACAATCTCGTACAAAATTTGAAGAAAACTATCGTTCTATAATTAATTCTAAAAATCAGTATTCTCATTAACTGTCTTAAGTACCTTATTACCGTTCCATGTGTTTCTAACATTATCTAGTAAAAGGAATCATGCGCATGTATGTTATCTAGCTACCGCATGTCGCTCCACCATTCCAGTATCCTCCAGATTATTCTATTTATAGTGCATTGCGATCTTCATTTTAGATACGTTCATTATACTGGAATTGTAGGTGTAAATGTCGATAAAATAAATTACTAACAACTCCACGACGCAGAAGACGCGGAAATGGCAATTCTAAATTCAATTACCTATGTCATAAAAGAGTAAATTGTGATTCCCAGGACTATAAACATCAGATTTTTTATTTTGCTTTCCTTTTTATAATAAAGTTCCTTTTTATAACCTTTATGTATTGCATCCGTTATTTATTTAATATATAGGTATGTGACCTAACTACTGAATATACCGCAATTATATTTTTCCATAAATAGCTGAAAGGTATGTATGGCAAATGGCTGGAAATGGGGTTTCTTGTTCGTTCTTCTTCATAGGAATCTACATTTTGAGCGAGCACATAGCTCGACCACGAGCACATAGCTTCACTAGAGGACTGACCAACAGACTGACATTTTTGCCTTTCTAAATGTTTTTGACCTTAACTTTGACTATGGTGCCATCTCAAAAATTTTGGGAACCCTATCGTATCCTCTAATCTCATTCTTCCTCCACCAGAACCATGGCAGTCGAAGGTGTAATGGTGACGTACAACTACTCAGACGATGGGGAATACGCCAACATCCTCACTGTGTCTGCGTCAGGCATCAGGTTCTCCAAACGCTGGGTCCTTACACACGGTTCCATACTCTCCCCTTTAAAGGAAGCTAAGATAATCAAAAAAGCAAAAGGGAAACCCATACTAAATGATGAGTTTTACGCCGGCCTTCCAGAAATTCATGTGACGTGTGAAAAGAAACAGTCTGCTAATCCAAATCTGTATGAGAGTGTCGAGAAACTCAGTAGAGAGAGGAACTTGCAGCATGGAGACTTGGAACATAGCAGCTACTTGATCAGAGTACTCACTGGCAGGTACGTGGGTTTGTTATCTTATATCTTATACTATTATATAAAGCGGAAGAGTTTGTTTGTTTGTTTGAACGCGCTAATCTCCGTAACTACAAGTCTGATTTGAATAATTATTTTTGTGTTGGATAGCGCATTTATCGAGGATGGCTATAGGCTATAAAACTTCACGCTACGACCAATAGGAGCTGAGCAGAGCGTGTGAAACCGCGCGGAAGTTCAAGTTATACTTATGAAGACCTTATGAAATTGGATGTATTATAATTTCAAAATTAGTGGCGTGGAGTCTAGAGCAATTTAACTATCACCATACAATAACATTTACAATTACCCCATGTTCATTATTTTAAAGGTCAGGTTTTTTTTCTATATGTCCACGTAGTTTTTAATAAGAATTTGGTGCCACGCTCATATCAAAAATACACCTCAAAATTGTACCAAAAATGAGTCACATGTGACTCATGAACTTATTCTGAAAGTTTATCGCGAGTCGTATGTGATGAACAGAAATGCCTTGGACAGTTAAGTTGCTAGAATTGCCTGTTTAGCACGCCTCCTGGAGATCAAAACGTAACTGACGAAAAGCTAAACATTTATTACATGCACGTTTACTATAAATAAGACAGAATATTATGTTTTCAGGATATGCCACGTGTGGCAGTGTCCGATCCTGGATAGGTGTGCCAATGACATTCTGTATAGCTGGACCATAGGACATAAGGATGGAGATATAGATAGCCAGACGAAACTCGGCACGGCACTACTCTCTGTATTCGTTCTCATCGACTTGGAGAGCGATAAACGAGGTTGGTATGGTCACTTCAGTCCTATGAGCCAAATATTCTAAAGGACTATAAAAAAGAAAAGAAAAAAATATTTTAATTCACTGAATTGAGTTAAACCTAAATATCAATTGGCTATTAGCACAGAACGGTACAAGTCCTATGTAAAATCGTAAATTATCGCGAACATTACCTCTAATATCATATCATACCACGACCGAAGGATACCATGGTAAGAAAGATCACATAAAAACGAAATGCAATGATATTAACTTAAACTGGCAAACGCCGAGCGGTCACCGGTGACCGCAACCTATTGTTCTTTAATTATGTAATGACGGTACTCAAAGAGTTAAGATTCAAAAACCTCTGGATTCTTGGTAGCCAATCTGTACTCTCCTTGTCCAACAAGCTAAGGGTTTATTGCTCCATAATAAAACCAATCTAGACCTACGGAATCCAACTGTCAACAGCCAGAAAATCCAATACTATGATACAGAGAGCTCAAAACAATATCCTTAGGGTTCTGTCATCGGCACACTGGTCATCGGCACACTGGGACGCTTGCAACTCAGAAATCCGCGAATATTTGCAAATTCCTACTATACTGGATGAAATAAACAAATACTCACCCAACTACAGGGACGGTCTGACAGATCACCAAAACCCATCGTCATCTATGCTGTGTCAACCAAACCAATTTAGACGACTCAAGCAGGCGGATGTGCTAGATAACTAAGGGGAGTCGGAACAATCACTTCACTTCTCCAGCAATAATAACAACAAACCTGATTATATTCGTAATGAATGCTCGCAGGATAAATCCAAAAAAAATAATAATAACATACCACAAAAGGATACTTAATTTGCACGTACCATTAAACCATTTGAGGAACCCTTACATTTTGCATGGAGGTAGGTACCCTATCGGCTATTGGCCTTACATTTAACCAAATAAGATTCTCCAATAGAAACGTACAACATTTTGTATTCCTTAATTTTTATATCAAATTCTTTTTCTCCTATAAACAGTCTGCGACATTCATTACAACAGATAAAATCGATGTTTGTTAATTATGTAGATCCTTTAATAATATTTTAACAAATAACTAAACTAACGAAAGTCACATATTTCCTGGAACCTCTCTCTATCTCGCTCTAACACACCTATTTCTTCTTCTTTTTCTTCTTCTTCTTCTTCTTTTTCTTGTTCTTTGCTCCTGCTCCTTCATCGTCATCATCATCACAATCAAGGTCAAAGTCGTCGTCGCAAGTGTGTCGCATTTCTGCAAAACAAGCATAATTTGTGTGATGAAGATTCTGCTACTAGTTTTAATTTAAGAACTTGCAAAAATATTTTTGGGTAAAGATATACGAATACGAGTAATAAAATAGTAGAATATAATGATAAAAAGGTAATTGCATCGTGTTCTTTGAAGCGTTTCGCTTCAAGTGAAACAAGTGTTTTCTGAAGGATACAACATCCAAGTCCCCAGGTTGCTTGTAGGCGTGCATTCTCCAACGTAGGCCGCATCCGGGCTTACGAGAGATAGCGAAATGCCAACATATTACCATGAAAAGAAAATCACCATCACGGGGATCTGGGATAATCGTCCAGTCGTGTCGCCAGCTGTTGACCAGGTTCATGTGGTTGGGTAACGCGCGGTTTAAAGTGAAGTCTCTATCGACGGCCTCCTTCTTCACGACCGCTGCCATGCCGAGGGCCAGCGCTCCAGGAACCAAACCGTGGTAAGAGCGAAAGTACCAGGCAACCAGAGGTCCACAGGCTGCACCTCCTATATCACCAACATTTCAACAAACTTATGATATTTCAAACAGCATCAAGTATATGAAGTTTATCGCAGAAGTAGTACATTAAAAATTGTGAAGTTTTGTCAACATTCTTTCGACTTTCTGTTGAAAACTTACCAACAAAATAATTAAGCGGGTCATCAGCGTCCCTCGCATGCAGCATACCATTGGCGACCACAGCGAAAGTAGCTCCCATGAGGCCAAGAGGGACGGCATGGCGAGCATACCTAAAAAGCGCATAAGAAAATTGCCATGACGTGTAATTTAACACAAAACGTATAGAATTTGATCCCCAGATCGCACCAGGTCATTGTGGTTTTGGAGTAGTTTCAAGCGAATTTTAATTTACAAATAAACTCAAGTATACTCCGTCTGTTTAGGTAGTTAACTATTTGTAAACAAACCATAAAAAGAGTTCTTTATAGTTGACATTTCCATGATTCAAAATACTTAATAAGAAAATAAAATTGTTTCCCTTTTTACGACAGTTTTCTTTATTAAATGTTATGTTTCTGTTCCTTTTCACTTATTTCTTAGTAAATCTATACATCTTCTATCTATACATATAATAAAATATATATATATACATATAATAAAATTGTAGAAAAGTGCTGTCTGTACATTGAAAATAAAAATAAAAAAAATAGCAGGGGTTATTGTTATGTCGATGTCGAACCCAAAAATGTAATTAACTTTTTTTTTGTCTGTTTGTCTGTTTGTCTGTTCACGCTAATCTCAGAAACGGCTGATCCGAGTTGGATGCGGTTTTCACGAATATATTGTGGTATGCTTCAGTTATGTTTTAGTGTTTGTTTCATGTCAATCGGTTCATAAATAAAAAAGTTATGTCAAATTAAAGAATCACGTCGTGAGTATATATTTAAAAAAAAAAAACACTATCACATTCACTATTCCACGCGAACGAAGTCGCGGGCACAGCTAGTATTATATATATCTGCTTGAGGATATTAATTTAATAATATTTATTAAATAGTATAACATTTCATTACAATAGACACCATAAAGAGCCTAAAATCCCAGGTATCCAAAACTTTTCTTTAAAAAAGAAGCAAAATAATGTTTCAAATTAAAGAGTACAACTAAGATGTAGCGCGACAATGAAAGTAGCGTGTATTACATTTAGTCGGTTAATCAGGCGCCATTGACAGCTCTCTCGTCGTTTGCGCTCGCGTTCCTATTTTGTTGAATTTATCTTGTTTCTTTGTTTTGTTTTTGTTATTACGTTATTCAAGTTTAGGTTATTCATCGTTTGTAATTAATGTGTTCAAATATATTGAAGAAACTTGGCCCAAAGACACATATCCGTACAAGAAAGAAATCCGTACATCAGATTCAGAATAGTTTCTATTTAAACATGATAATGAAATAGACCCATAGGCAAGGCTCTTGTACGATTTAGGCATTTGTACTTGTATGTGTGTGTATGACAAATGAACGAGTTTAAAGTGAATTTAATTAAAATTAAAACACGAGAAATATTTGAAGTATAGTAGGTTCAGTATCTCTGTGTCACGTGGTTTTCTTTGTTTACCTTTAGTTAATTACCTAAACAGATGGACTATAGGTATGTGTAACGGGAATGGGAATCCAGATTAAAGTTTTAATAAACTCACCGCTTCATTATGGGAGACAAACCAACGACATGAGAAAACATGAGAACGTCGTAAGTGCCGGCGATGAGACCAGCGACGATGCCGTAACGACTGGCAACCATGATCTGGTGGAAAATGCAGGAAAATGTTAATGAATCTTCATTCGTTTACTTACTTATGTACTATTGTAAACTATCTCAGTTGTCTCAACGTTTAATAATTCATTGCAAAAAATTGGCTATGCTCTCATTCAGAGTTCTTGCATTCAAAATCGTGTAGCAGTCTTTAATGACAGTCAATAATGCTTTGGCTGTTAGATATTCTAGGTCTGAATATTCATAAATGAAGGGTTTTTTTTTAAGGGGGGAAAATCATCGAATGACTGCTCCCGCCTGGGTGAGTCGGAAGGGAGTGCCAGACTCTTACTGACTAAATACCACCCCGTTCCTTCTCCTGCACGTCGAGCCGGAGCCCCGGTTACCCGTTAGGTTCTCCGCAACTCCGAATCGGCATCGGCCCTATTGGGCCCCATCTGTGGTGGTTTGATGGCTCTTTGAGGCGCGCGCGGAACGCGACGCGCCGTACGCTCGGGTCTGTTTCTGGTCGGACGGGGAGCCACCCATGTTCGCCGTCCGCAGGCCCGCGCTTACGGTGGCCGGAGATCGTCCCGCGATCCCCGACGCCCGGTGTGTCCTTCGCGATGGCTGGGTTGCGAGGAGGCAGCGCTTCGCTGCCTCACGCGTCCCGCCTCCTCCTTAGCTAGCATGACTGCTTCGCAAAAGGAGGAGACGGCATCCCAGTCCCCCTCGCTCCGCATCATGGCCTGCACTAGGCCCGGACGCGAGAGGTCGCCATCGCCGATCACTTCCCTGAGGGCACGGCGGTGTTCAGCCCACGCAGGGCATTCCGCTACAGTGTGTTCCACCGTGTCCTCAGGGCGGTCCTCGCAGTGATGACACCCGGGCGTTTCCTCCCGCCCCATCAGACACAGGTACCTCCCGAAACTTCCATGTCCGGTGAGGACCTGCGTCAGGCGGTAGGTGAGGACGCCGTAGCGTCTCTCAAGCCACTCCTCAAAGAGGGGACTTACCGCTGCAATGGCAGCGAGCCCAGCCCTCGGTTGCGACATTCGTTGCTGCCATTCCGCCATGAGATTGCGCCGGAGCTCATCCCGCCACGCACTTATCTGGCGCGGCAGGATCTTATTAGGCTCGGCTGGCGGAGTTTCGCCCCGGCGACGTGCCTCCGCGCGCATGTGATACACGCGCGCGAGCACCTTCGCCTCCAGATCTCACGGCGGTTATCCGGCAAGGAGGTTCGCCGACTCCCCGGAGATCGTGTGGTATCCGCGGATAATTCGGATCGCCATGAGCCTAAATGAAGGGTTTAAGTTGAACCGAAACTGAGAACAATATACTTGCAGTTTTGATACGTATGTAACGACCGTCACACATGACGCTTGCGTTTCCATGACAATCGGGTCTCAAAATACGAGTTTCACACTAATATTACAAAATAATGTGAAAGTTTCTTTGAATGGATATTTGGATCAAATTTAGCATAAGGGCAGGGTATGGCTGACTTAGGTGATAGAATACGTTTTATCCCGATGAAATGCTCCTGTGGGATAAAACGGGAATCATATTCTACGCGACGAAGAGGTAGGCAACAGCTAGTAAGTCTAATAAAAACGTCACAGAGTCTATTATAGAGTACCTATGCACATTGTGTGAATTTGGATGTCTCTAATTTTAGTTACCTTCGTTTCCACGTCGCACCCATCAGGCGTATCGTAATATCTAGAGTAATTGCGTGGATCACATTTTGGTTCTTCGTCTTTGCCTTTATCTTTATCCTTTTTTTTATCCTTAGTTTTAGATTTATCTCCCATTTTATTTCATATTTAATTACTAAGATAAAAAGTCAAATTGTTCATCGTCAAAAAATGACATTTCCGATACCTACCTCCGTCAATTTAAAAGTTTGAAACTTATTAGAGTAAGCTATGGCTACAAACGACGGCAAAAAGTTTACACTAAATCGTTTGGATAACTGAAAGTAAGGAATGGTCTTGGAGTATTTAAACCACTTCTCTAAGGGAGTAAACAAATATACCTTTTGTTTCATCCACATTCATCAATCACTTCTCTTCAAGCATGGTCATCAATTGGTCGTGGTTCTATTCTGCTCCCACCCCGACACTGTTTGCCACCAAACATACGTTCGGACTAAGTGCCCTGTGTGAATTAATTTATGTATGTTCATAAGGAATAGTAACTAACTCATGTGAAAGACACGACTCGATTCCCTTATTTTTTTAGTGTGGAGAACTTACTGGATACTCGTTTCATTTGCAGGCATCGAAAGTTTGCGGCCGCTCTCGTATCTACTGGACGTGGTCCGCCCACCTACGGAGCGAGGGTCCATCTTAGAGGTACACTCAACGCCGTTTGGATGTGAGGTAACTTAATAATCAAGACAATGTTATCTAACTAAACATAACAGATAAAGAATAACATTTATTTGACATACAGAACATGAATCAAAGGAAAAAGTAATAACATACACACATACATACGTTACGTGCTGTAAGTGAAAGAAAGAAAAAAGAAAAATAAAAGATTTTAACTGTGGGAGAACCATGTTTCAGCAATGGGCCGGCTCGATCGGTGTGATGCCACGGCGTCACAGAAAACCAACGTGAAACAACCCTTGCGCTATGTTTCGTCGTGTGAGCAAGATTACCGGAGCCCAATTTATCCCCCGTCCCCCTTCCCAATCCCTAAATTCCCAACAATCCTCAAATTCCTAATCCCCAAAAGGCCGGGCACTTTTAATGCCTCTGGTGTATCGGGAGTCGGTCCATGGCGGCATCGATTGCTTACCATCAGGAGACCCGCCTGCTCGTTTACCGGCTTATTCCATAAAAAAAAATATTCGCCATATCACATGCACAAGGATGTAGATAAAAATTAAAAAAATAAATAAAAATAACAGACATCACAAATTGATTTATTAAAATTAATTAAAGTGCTGTTTGATGACATCAAGGCAGCACTTTACATAGTACATCTGTTGCTAACCGTACTGTTCCCACGGGTATCGATCGGATAAGAACCGGTGAGAGTCGACTAAGGGATTGCACACTAAACACACTTCACCGGGTAACAACACTCTCTGACAAACCTTTTTTTTTTGAGGGGGAAAATTATCCGATGACTTCTCCCACCCGAGTGAGGCGAGAGGGAGTATCAGCTTCTTTTTTATATGGGATGGGAAACGAGCATACGGATCACCTGATGGTAAACAATCGGCGTCGCCCATGAACCCCTGGAACACCAGAGGCGTTAAAAGTGCGTTACCGGCCTTTTGGGATTAGCAATTTGATGATTGTTGGGGATTCAGGGATTGGGGAAAGGTAGGGGGAGTAATTGGGCATTCGGTAACCTCACTCACACGACGAAACACAACACAACGTTGTTTCACGTCGGTCTTCTGTGAGGCCGTGGTATCACTCCGGTCGAGCCGGACCATTCATGCCAAAGCATGGCTCTCCCACACTTCTAATTATAAGTTTGAAATCACCAAACCGGATTGAGCAAGCGTGGTGATTAATGTTCAAACCTTCTCTGTGTGAGAAGAGACTTTGCTCAGCAGTAGGCATTAATAGGCTGTTTACGATGTAAAAGGTAAAACTATCGTATTACCAAGATAGAACCATTTTACTTCGGGACGAAAACGAAATATGCCTGGCTTACACTGAGTGGGTGACCCTTTTAGCATAGGCATGTTGTCAGCGTCTCTTTTCTAATTCTTCTGTTTCAATTTTTCAACTCTTATATTTTTATTACTTCCACTGTCACACCTTGATTGTCTTTTTTTATTTTTTATTTATGCTGCATCGTGCCTGGTGCTAAATAAATGTTTTTTCTTTCTTTCTTCTTTCTTTCTAAATAGTTTTCACGGTGTATATTTCGCGGTATTGGTTATTATCGTAACACTGACTTGTGTCACAAGTTCACAAATGACGAAAAGCGTTACATTGAAATAAAAGAATTACGTTATCATGAAGTTAAGTTATCGAATGGCGTTGATTTATTGCAGGTGTTCCTAAACGCAGTGACTCGTGGTTCAATATGTGGAGTGGTAGGCAAGAGACCGTCCCTGTTGATGACTGACGCAGCCACTGCACTGGGCTCCGAAGGTGGACCCGTCTTCACTGAGGGATCGTGAGTATCAAAACCCCTTGTAGTCCCTCAGCTTAAAATTTATATCTCTTTATCCTACCAAGTATACCCGAGCGTACGGCGCGTCGCGTTCTGCGCGCTCCTCAAAGAGCCATCAGACCACCACGGATGGGGCCCAATAGAATAGGCCCTTAATACGGAGCCGCGAAGAACTTAACGGGTTACCGGGGCTCTGGCTCGAAGGACAGGAGTAGGAACGGGGTAGTTTTTAGTCAGTAAAAGTCCGACACTTCACACTCCCTCCCGCCTCAGCCAGGCAGAAGAAGTCATTTGATGATTTCCGCCCTTAAAAAAATCCTACCAAGTATATGTATTATCTATTACATTCATATTATAAAATGAAGTCCACACTTGCGTTTGGTTTTATAAACTCGTTAAAAAGTGCTATTGTCTTCTAACAATAGCAAATTTTTGTTGGCTTTGTTCCTAGCGTCTGTCGAAGCCATTTTGTTTGAAGGTGTAAAATTTCCCCTATACTTATTATCTCTTTGTGTAAAATTGTCATATGACTCCTCTCACTCTCACTCACACAGTCAATGAGTCTGACACTCCCTCGCGCTTCACGCAGGAGTGTCAGACTCATTGACTAAAAACCACTCTGTTCCAAATCGGGCTGCAGTAACAGTAACTACCTTATTCGCACTGCGCTAGTATTTTAGTCGAGTAACGAGTATTTAGTAGCCTTCTCTCGCTTCTGTCCCAAAATCGAATCGGCGAAAATCGAATCGGATTTACAGCTTATCCGCAACTCCGGCCTCATTGGTTTATTTTGTTCCAGTAAGGAGTTGGTAGGAATAGTGGTGTGCAGTGTGTCGTGGTGCCGCGGGGAGTGGGTGGGGCTGAGTCTGGTGGCGCCGCTGACGTCGGTGCTGGCCTCCAAACTGAGGGTCGCCGTGCCAGCGCCCGACAGACCACTCGCCTCCCACCCACTGCAAGACGTGCTCAGTGAGTCACTTAATATACTATACAAGTCACACTAGCTGTGTGGTGACAGAGACGAACCCACTGTTCCACACTTTTCAGTCGTCACGGTTATGTCATCAGAATCGACTAACGGAGTTCTAGGGCCATATGCTTTCTTTGCCACCGTCGTGGTATAAAAAAATATATTTAACAGAACCTCTCTTCTTCTTCGTTTCCTCTGATAAACCAGTATGTTTTTAAACTGTTATTCAGCCTACCAAGCGTCGAGATTAGAATAGTTAATAAACATAATACGGTAGTTGACAGGTAGTCAAATTCAATACTTTTAATGAAATGTCAAAAACGATACTTTTCCTTAAAACATACATACATACTTATTTCCTTAAAATTAGCGAGAAAATATCCAAAAGTAGGTAAATTGTCAAATCGATGGATGAGAGTATGATTATTTTTTAATTATTTATTGCACTTGACTGCCTCATTGGCTGAGAGGTCGCAAGTGCGACTGCCGGGCAAGGGGTCTCGGGTTCGGTTCCCGGGTCGGGCAAAGTATTACTGGGTTTTTAAAAATCTCAGTAGTATCACGTAGTCTGGGCATGTGCCCGATATATGGCAATAGGGTCACCCCCTATTACATGGGACTCATAACATAAATAGTGAAAAGTGGGTGTAACACTGTACAGTGGCATTAAGTGCCGAAATGTGCACCTCTGCCTACCCCTTCGGGGATAAAAAGGCGTGATGTTATGTGTTATGTTATGTTATTTATTGCATTGAAAAGTTGAAACAATTTATTTTATAAACCTAGGAAACTACCCAATTATATGACCACTTCTATTCTTTACTGACAGACGCTAGACGTATCAAAGCACGGTATCAAAATGCCTGTATTATTATCTAAAGTAAATGCATTCAGTTGTTAATATTGTATTCTTGCAGATCAAATAGACGCGTGTACAGTACTAGTGCGGTGTGGACACGCGTGGGGGGCGGGGGTGTACCTGGGAGGGGGGTACCTCGTCACCTGCGCACATGTCGTCAAATCTGTAAGAGAACTTCTTTATGTACCTTATCACCTGTACGGTAACTCTACCATAAGTTTTTTTTTATATATTCGGTTTCTTTTTCTCCACGGACTCTTGTCCGTGCCCTTGTCATTCAATAATATTTTCTTTTATTTTACAGTCAAAATTAATTGTTACAAAAATCTTAAGTGCTACATTAACCACATTTTTTTTTCACAAAGAATGTTGTGTCTACTATCTATATATGTATACACAATACATGTTTTATTTTTTTACATTATTACATTTACATTAACCCTACTGAGTCTACCTGCCATGAGTTTAAAGCTTGTTGATCATCAATAGTGACGACGTAATTTTTTTGTATTGCAAATTTTATTTCCGTAAGTAATCGCTAGAGGTGCTAGTATCAACAAATTCTATTACTTCAAAGTCATGGTAGTGGTACTGATGGTAGGCGATCAACACCGTCCATATGGACACCCACAATACCAGAAGACGAATCACAAATACCTGTAAGAATATCGGTTCAAAAACAAATATTTCCTTTTCAGTATCAAAATCACAAGTTATCGGTGTATTGTCGTGGTGTGAGTGAGACAGCAATAGTCCGGTATAAAACGCCAGACAAGAAGGCATATGACCTCGCACTGTTGTTCACAAACCCTGAAAAACTGAGTCACATGAGTCCAGCAGTGTTGTCAACTGTACCGGCTGAGAAAGGTAAGTTTGGGCAACGGTTCCATAACTATTGTAAGACATACTAAATTAAGGGAAGGCTAGAAAAAAACGCCTCAGGCATTAAATCCGTCCATGTGCGTTTAACCATGAAGCATTACATAAATCACTGCTTACTCACTTACGAATTACGAGGTTACTCGACTAATTTCAAACTACAAGAGGGTCTCATAATCATGAGTGCGGTGAATCCGCTAAAGCGAATTGGGTCACGGCAACAGGCAGAGGAGGTTTTAGCCGGTAATAGTCCGGCACACCTCCCCATCGTCCCCACGACCAGAGAAGTCCAAGAGGATTTTCATCGATCTACAAAAAAAGGGTTTCTGATCTGATCCACTGATTATGAACCCAGTCATAGCTAGAAGAAACCAATCAAGCATCCTCCTCTAAAAATAATTCTATCACATTTGACAGAGAAGGATTAGAAGCACAAATTTTTGATGTTTCTGGTGAGATGTGAATGTGAATTTGTTGGTTTGATGACTTTTTATACCACAATGGCGACGGTGGCAAAAAAAAATCACACGGCCCACCTGATGGTAAGCGGTTACCGTGGCCTATGTACGCCTGCAACACTTGGGGCATTACATGCGTCTTGCCGACCCTTAAAAAACCTATTTTCTACCCTGTTGAAAAACCCCATGTTGATGAACCGCCTGTCTACCATAGGGGTATGTAGGTAGAGACTTCTTCGTATGTAGAGAGATTCTTACATACCTCACCCAATAATAATATTTATTAATTACAGGAGAATCAGTACTAGCAGCGGGTTTCCCTTACTTCAATGAGTTTGACCTCACCAACTTGATCCCGACCATCACGTCAGGGCACGTGAACACAGTGTCGCCCTCTATGATACAAACCTCATGCTGTGTGCAATCCGGCTTCAGTGGAGGACCGATATTCAGAATCACTAAGTACGTTAATCATTTTATTTATTTTAGTTTTGAAAAACGGGAAAATAGCTTCACTAGAGGACTGACCTACAGACTGACATTTTTTCTTATTATTTAATATTTAAATATTTTGTTTTGACGTTCAAAAGTGCCTTACTGGTCTAATTGAAATTAATGATTTTGACTTTGATATTATCCAAATAATACTTTTTGCGACCCGGAAATTGATCTCAGACCTCTTTCGTGGCTGTTATACATAGGCCATACAATCAAAACTGCATTTTGTCAAATATTGTATGCTGTACAATCGACAACTTTAAGTTATGACCCACTAATACTGATAGCTTAGCTTTTTACAGGCATTCAAAAGTCGATATTCGGTTACAACCTTGGTCTTTTGTTATTATGTATTTTGTTATTGTTAAAGTAGGCCTTTATGGATATTACATGATTGTACTGTATGTTGCAGGCCAAAGAACCGCGTGGAGGTGCTGGGTATCATCGCTATCAACGTGACGAGTGAGGGTGGGGCGTGCTTCCCCTACGTCAACATGGCGGTGCCGGCTGCCGTCTTCAGCCACGCTCTCGCGCACTACATACTCAACAAAGGTACCTTCGACACCATACACCGTGAAATCTATTTCGTTTTCGTCCCTAAGTAAAATTGGTTATAGAATAGTTTTACAAAAAAATAAAATGTTTAAAACAAAAAAGAACTGAGTACCTAGCGTTCGACGCTCTGATTGGCCGGCTCAAGTGAACCAACCAATCAGAGCGCCGAACGCGCTCGATACTATTACGTTACGATTGCGATAGTTATTCGTGCTTGGCACTCAGGTGAGCAAAAAGCTAACTTCGAAAGTGCACACTAACTCATAGTATCTACATTATCAAAACATCACGCCATGTGATTCTTGAACAGGTATTTCTCGTTGCGTTCGATGCTAATAGCGCCTACCTACTTTACGTCTAGTGTTTTACGTGGGCATTTCCACGATTTTTTTTAAACTAAAGAAAGTCTCAATCTTTGAATTTTTGTTTTTACTTTATACATCGAAAGAGCAAGTTGTTCTGTCCCGGATTGAAAACGAAATAAATTTCACGGTGTATACTACAAAAACTATATAACGAGCAAATCGATCACCTGATGGTAAGCAATTTGCGATGCCCATGGACACCTGGAACACTGAGATTATTATAGGAATTAACGATTTGGGAGTCAGGGGTAGAAAGAGCGAGGATCGGCGTCGGAAACACACCACGCAAGCTTTGTCTCACGCCAGTTTCCACGTGAGGCCTCATTTTAACACAAATTAAATTTATTTTACAGATGAATCGAAACTTGCTGGAATCGAAAATAATAAAGAAATAATTCAAGCTCAGTGGAGGCTAATGCCGTACAGGTCTAAAATATGATATTTAGAGGTACTTACACTTCAGTGCTATGGGCTAACATTAGAGTTCCTATAATATATCGGTGATGGACAATTTTACAATTACATATATTATTAAGATTTATATTTTGTGATAATAATGACACTACAGCGTTTATTTTAAATAATTGCTATTAGTACTGAATAGAACGTTTGAAATACAGTTTACTTTATACTAAACTGTACGGAATACGACTGCACGGCTGGTGCGGTAGCTGGGCAACCGGCTGTTGTACAGCGTGCCGCGGGTTCGATTCCCGCACGGAACAACACTTTGTGTGATCCACAAATTGTTGTTTCGGGTCTGGGTGTCATATGTGTGAACATACAAGATGTTTGTAAACGCACCCACGACACAAGAGAAAATCGTAGTGTGGGGCAATGTTTTTTAAAAAAGAAAGTTAAGCTTGAACGTGGCCCCAAACTCAAGGTATTGTCTGTGTTGTGGTTACGATTACAAGTAACAAAGCAGTTATTTAAAATTCACGGAATATTTAACTCGTCGAGTACCGGTTTTATAGACACAATTAAAGAACAATAGGTCGCGGTCACCGGTGACTGCTTGGTATTTGACAGTTTAACTTACATTTTGTGATAATATGACTCTATATTTAGCATTTAAAAGTTAAGAACTAAGAATATGGTAGTTATATAAACATATTTATTATACTAATCTAATAGAACGTTTGTATAAATGTCTAAAACAAATCAACCTACAACAACTGGGTACTTGCCAAATAGTCAAATTCAATACTTTTTTCGAACTGTCAAAAACGACAGTTTTCTATGACGTTTTGTACGAGATTGTGAATTGTGACGTCACGTTTATCTAGCGTCAAACAGCATAATACTTATTTCTTAAAAAATGTGTGGATAAATACTAAAATTAATTAATGAAAGTTGGTCATAAAATCAATTAATGAAAGTTTTAGTTAGAAAAAAATTGTTATTATTTTTTATATTTCATTGTATTGAACAGTCGAAATAATTTATTTTTGATTAAGGAAACTACCCAATTATGTAAAATAATTAGTTAATTAGATACATATGTATTTTGTTTAACACTTTCAGTGCGAATTTGTATAATAGTTATTTAATTAAAGCCCATGTTGTGATTTTGACGAGTGCATAATTATATTCGTTAAAAACTATAGGCCGATTTAACGTTGAAGAAGCTTTCATTCTTTTTTTCTTAACAAGATGTAAGCATTCGTCATTTGTAGGCCGCTTAATGTTTGGGAAGGATAATACAGGATTGTCCTAGTGCAGGCTAACTATTTGAGATCAATTGTACGTAATTTAGATATAATTTGAATTTAGCGTTTTTGTTATTATGTATAAAGTTTTTATATTTATATTATATTATGCATTCGTCAAGTGACGCAACACGTGGACAGTCAAAGAAAACTATAATAGGTATAAAGATTTGATCCTATAATCATATTACTTACTTTTACTCTCTCGAAGCCAAATACGTCATAAACTTTTGAAAAACCCGATTTTGTAGGTTTTCAAAAATTTATCTTTATGAAGTGGCTCGCTCCCTATCAAATAAGACTCAATATACCGGGTGAAAAGTGGGTGTTAGAACGAAATATGCCTCTTCTACCTTGTCGGAACATATTTTCCCCAAAATGATTGAAAAAGAGTAACCTATTGAGTTTCTTGCTTGTTCTTCTCCATAAGAATCTACACCTTGGAATGAGCAAATAGCTCAACTTTTAATTTTTTTTGTTGACATTCAAAAGTGCCATTCTGGCCTAATTGAAAAAAAAATAAAAAAAAGGGGAATATAGGAATTTTCGTGGCATCTTCCCCGATTTTTTTTTACCTTAAGTAGGTATAATGTAGTTTGAATGAAATAAACATTTGTTTCCTTCGGGGCTTAAACGGCATGTTGCTGTAGAATAATTTTGCCATTAACCCAGTGGTCGAATTAATGATGGCGGAGCACAATCTTCGATCGCATGTTCCTACATTATCATCATCATCATCATATCAGCCACGAGTCGTCGTCTGCCTGACATAGGCCTCTCCTACTAACTTACAGATAGGTTTGTTGGAACCAACTTGCATTTAACGGCTCCCTACGACCTTGATCAAGGTCGTCAAATAGGTAAATCGTATGTCCATATGGCTAGGTATCTACAATAGGGTAGTTTCCAGGGTGAGAATATTAAAAATTTAATTAGTCCGTCAATTAGATAATGAAAAAATATTAGACACATATTTTTTTTTTATTTTCTCGTATAAAGTTACAGTACTTAGATAAAATGGAGTTAAGTTTAGAAGTGGGAGGTAGTTACGTCACAACGTGCTACATTTTGTAGCACGCTGTGACAAAACAAAATGTAGCACGTTGTGACGTCACACGACATTTCGAATCAATATAATATCGTCGAAAGCATTTAATTTTGTGATTAAAGAAAAAATACGTGTCTAATGTTTTAAAAGAATCTACCAGACGGACATTAAAATAAAATTTAGGAAACTACCATAGCATATTATTATGAGGTCGTGGTGGCCCGGAGGTTTAAGACTTCACCCGCTTCTCATGGATTAGGGTGCGGGTTCGAAACCTACTAACGGCGAGTACCAATGTAACTTTTTCCGAGTTATATGTACTTTCTAAGATTATTTAGACACCACTGACAAACGGTGAAGGAAAAACATCGTGAAATTATAAGTCCAGGTGTTACTTATAATTTCAGATTATAAGTTTGAAATCGCCAACCCGCATTGGGCAAGCGTGGTGATTATTACTCAAACCTTCTCCGTGTGAGAAGAGGTTTTGCTCAGCAGTGGGCATTTATAGGCTGTTGATGATGATGATGATTATTATTATGTTGGAAAAACCACCAACCGCAAAGAGCTTTTTAAAAAGCCGGCAACGCACCTGTGACGCCTCTGGTGTTGCGGGTGTCCATGGGCGGCGCTGATCGCTTACCTTTAGGTGATCCGTCTGCTCGTTTACCTCCTATTTCATAAAAAAAGAGCTGTTAGCCGCGCGGTTGGCCGCTAGTACGTGTGGGTCATATATGCAGAGATGTGAATTATTTAAGATACAAGTATCTGAAATACAGATACAAGATACAAAATACGTATTTCGATCTTGTATCTGAAATACTTTATTAAAAAACCATTTTATATCTTGTATTTAAATACATTCGTTCTATATCTTAGTATTTGACAAATACTTTTTCCGATAAGATACTTTTAGAATTATTTTTATCAATAAAGTGATCAGATTCTAAGCTGACATTTACAAAGGACGATGCTTTACAAAACCCAACATTGGCGTAAACGAAAAGAAATGAGTCAGTAACACAGCATTTTCTTGCATTTAGCCATCGATATCGATGATGATCCTGATGTAGCATTTATTAGGATCACACTAAAAATCTGAGATAAGTTTCATTTGCGGCAATTCTGGGTTTTTTTTTCAAACTTCGTGAGCATTGTCCTTTAAAATAAGGAAATTGGAATTCATTCAGGTGTTGTTTTCCTAGAAAAGTATTTTATCTTTAAAAAGTATTTTAAAGATACCTATCTTGTATCTAGTATTTCAGATACCAATGTCAATAGTATTTTGTATCTGGTATCTAAAATACTTAATTTTAAAGTATCTTGCATTTTGTATTTCAGATATTTTGTATTGGGTATTTTGTACATCACTGCATATATGGGGGTTGGATTGTCTACTACACGTGTCCTAGTATAATATAATAAAATAATCAAGCCCAATTATACTACTCTTTACCAAGAGATCAAGACTGATTGGTTTTGGTAGTCTCTATACAATTGATAATTTATTTTTATGTAGTAATAATATTATACCTATATTGAATTTTTATTTTAATAAATTATAATGTCTTTTATAATTGTGTTTTATTACATGCACTTCTAACACTGCGTGTTTATTTAGTCAAAAACTCATTTTTATTCACCCGGTTGACTCACCAGTCACATGAACATAACTATCGCATTCGAATCGTAACAGTGTCGAGCGAGTTAAGCATTCTGATTGGTTGGTTCACTTGAGCCGGCAAATCAGAACGCCGAACGCGCTCGATACTGTTACGTTACGAATGCGATAGTTATTCGTGCTTGGCCCTCAGATATCAAGGGTTAGACAGAGTATTTTCTTCAAAATTCACAGTCACCAATTGCCCTACAAAAAGGTATATTTTTTCGGTATATGCGTATGCTGATATATGTTATCATCACCTATGGACACCCACAACAGTTAAATAGTTTCAACTCACGGCCGTCAAAGCCATGAGCGCTAGTGTAGCATATGTCAGCTTAGTGAATACCAAACGATAATTTCGTCGCTGCAGCAGCGCTGCAGGCAACGCTGTATCCTTAGAGAATAGCAGTACAGAGGAAACACAAGTGTGTTTAGGTAAGGTAAGTATCATAAATGGTAAGGACAAGCTTGCCTACAAGTACATATGTTAATCAAGATGTCGATCTGATGTTTTTTTCTCTTTATCGGGCGCAGAAAGAAGTTTCCATGAAAAACCTTATATTTTTTTAGATTGGAAAAAACCAAAACCAAAAGAAACTAATTTTGAAACCTATCATTATGACAACTTTAGTTTTATGACGTAAAGAAGCCAAAAGGCGGTTATTTAATTTTTATTTTGTATATGAAATATTGTTTTACCGACACGTGTTTTGTAATAATACCTAAAAAATGGCGCGTAAACAACAAATTTCAATCCAAGAGACCGTTGACAACAATGAGGACTTCGCGAACTACCTCCAGGCTCATCACGATCAACTGATATGTAAGTACTTACTTTATTTAATCGAACAAGCCCGCCACTACCGACCAAAGCCGCTACAACTCCTGTCAGCCAGGACCTACAGTAGATACAACCATGAAAACACCGCAACATCGGAGTCCGGCGCGTCAACGAAATAAATCAAAGATATTCTTAGAAGAGAAGAGAACGACTGCCTCGTTGGCCGAGTGGTCGCAAGTGCGACTGCCGGGCAAGGGGTCTCGGATTCGATTCCCGGGTCGGGCAAAGTATTACTGGGTTTTTAAAAAATCTCAGTAGTAGCACGAAGTCTGGAATTGTGCCCGGTATATGGCAATAGGCTCACCCCCTATTACATGGGACTCATAACGTAGAGGTAGTGAAAAGTGGGTGTTACATTGTACAGTGGTATAATGTGCACCTCTGCCTACCCCTTCGGGGATAAAAGGCGTGATGTTATGTTATGTAGAAGAGAACGATATGTATTAGGTACCTACACATACAATTATATAATATCATCTATACTAGTTACTTATTCTTCTTTAACTTACTCCATTGGCACAACGACTCGAAGTGGACCTTGGCCTCTGATACTAGATTTCTTCATTTCTCGTGGATCTTGGCAGTGTCACCAACAAGCTGGAATGCTGGATGCAGGTGGCGAGTTGTCTTTTGACGTGGAGGAATAAGGGGGGGCTTTGTCCAGCAGTGGACGTCTTTTGGCTGTTGATGATGATGCTGGAAGCTCCCTCAGATACTACACTACATCTTTCTAGTTGTTTTTGTTTAACGGCCAAAATTAATATGTTATTACCGGTTTCAATCCCAAATCTTTGGATTATTTCTAGAGATCTATTTTTGACATTACTCTTATTTTTCTGAAAAATAAAATGATTTGGCAAAATCGGTTCCACTTAGCTGTCAACACCACCTATGGATTTGGATACCCATCAGAACATTACATCAGAAGAGATCCAAGTGTGTTGCCATCGTTTACGGATAAGGAATTTTGGGATGGATGTAGGATTCCTCCTCCTACTTCTATAATGTTAAACCTTCCACTACAGGTATGGAGGTGTACTCGGACTTCTGTGGCCCTTGCTTAGCAACAGCCAATGCCATCAGGAAGGGCAAGTTGGAAATTGGTCAAGACCGTATAGCTATGGTCAAGGTAATAGCCACACAATGCTTTAGTTGACCAATCCTTTTTTTATATGGTAAGCCGGTAAACGAGCAGACGGATCACCTGATGGTAAGCAATCGGTGCCGCCCATGGACACCCGAAACACCAGAGTTGTAACAATGGCGTTGCTGGCCAGCAACCGTTGTTTCACGTCTGTTTTCTGTAAGGCCAATTCTGTATCCCTCCGGTCGGGTTGGCCTATTCGTTTCGAAGCATGGCTCTCCCACACTTGAACACTTAGCGAACCCTGTTACCACTGAATTTACAATCGAATAAACTCAAGTGGACAACTCATTTACCCTGTAACAGTAGCCAATTTTCTTTGCACGATATGTTTTCAGAGCTTGTCATGGTGGCGGTAGGTTCGCACATTGTGTATTGACATTTTTTTAAATTTATTTTTAATTTTAAACAATTAAAAAAAAATAAAGAAAAAAATTGGTTACCAGTCGCCAGTCGCAGTGGTACTTGCCGGTTGGCAAGTTTTAGTTTGAAAAGAGTATTGAAATTGACTACCTAGTCAGTCAATTTCAATAAAATATACTTTTTTCAATCAAAAACGACAGTTTTCTATGAATTTTATTCGAGAATGTGTGACGTCATTTTTTAATATTTTATTGTATTGAACAGTCGAAATAATTGATTTGTAATTAAGGCAAGTACCCCAATGCGACATTCTATTGCTGTTTTATAATGTCCTTTTGTTGCAGTGTTGTGCAGATAAAATAGACGCTCTGGAAAGATTCAAGGACCACAGCGAACCAGCATTCCTCTTTATTGTGGTACGTCAATGTGACTTAAATTCCTACTTATTTCTCATTCTTTTCTTTCTGACTTCCCACCACTATACTACCGACATGTACCCTCGTGGCGTGAACCCTCTCGCTCTGAACCACTTTAATTAAGCCTTTTACCTTTACTGTTTAGGTGTCTTTTATAGGCTGATGGAAACAAAAATAATTATTGATAAGTGTCACCTATATTAGGTTAGGGATGTCTTAAAATTTAAGATAGATTATTGAAAACGGGTATAAAAAAATTTAAAATACAGGCAGATACGTAGTAGATTTAGGAACAATAAGTACTTTCCTTTCTTCACTTATTACTTAGAGCAAGATACAGTTGTCTGAATTCAAAGCATAAAATTTTAAACTGTCAAACACCAAGCGGTCACTGGTGACCGCGACCTATTGTTCTTTAATTGTGTCTATAAAACCGGTACTCGACGAGTTAAGATATATATGTGGTTCAAACGGCCTTACCTCATTATGTATCTACCTACTTGACTATGTCTAAGTATCACAGAAATTTTACACACCTTTAATTAAAAGTGTGTAGCATAATTAGAAATTATTGGACTAAATCGGTCAGCTGATAAAAATGCAATCGATTTCATTTTTCCTGAATATTAGTTATGACCTTTTTGTAGATTTTAATTATTTTTGCTCACAGCAAGGAAAGCTTACCCGTGCAATGTTCGGACCCAATGGTATAGACCTCTGTCGTATCATAGAGGAAGAGCTGAAGTTTTTAGATAGAGAAGCTGAAGGGGATGTCGTGGAAAGGCCCAAGTTGGAAATCCATGAAATGCTCCCTGAAGAAGCGGTACGATATCATCAGCCTTTACCGCATACTGGCTTCATCACGACCGAAACATAATACCCCAGTATTTTCTTCAATAAATTCATTATTAATTAAGTACGCCATTGTTGTTAGTTCTTCAAATAATAATATAATTAATAAAGGCGGGGCACTTAAACCAATTGTTTTCATTCAATATTGTTATTTGTTGTTTAACTAACGTAGGACTATGTTTGTTGGGCTCGCTATCATTGCAGCGGTAAGTCCCCTCTTTGAGGAGTGGCTTGAGAGACGCTACGGCGTCCTCACCTACCGCCTTACGCAGGTGCTTACCGGACACGGAAGTTTCGGTAGGTTCCTGTTTCGGATTGGGCGGGAGGAAACGCCCTGGTGTCATCACTGCGAGGATCGCCCGGAGGACGCGGTGGAGCATACGGTGGCAGTGTGTCCTGCGTGGACTGAGCACCGCCGTGTCCTCAGGAATGTGATCGGCGACGGCGACCTCTCGCGTCCGGCTCTGGTTCAGACCATGGTACGGAGCGAGGGGGACTGGGGTGCCGTCTCCTCCTTCTGCGAAGCAGTCATGCTAGCTAAGGAGGAGGCGGAGCGCGTGAGGGTACGAACCTCCTCACGACCCGGCCGTCGCGAGAGACACTCCGGGCGTCGGGGATCGCGAGACGATCTCCGGCCACCGTAAGCACGGGCCTGCGGACGGCGAGCATGGGTGACTCGCCGTCCGACCAGAACCAGGCCCGAGCGTACGGCGCGTCGCGTTCCGCGCGCGCCTCAAGGAGCCATCAGACCACCACAGATGGGGCCTAACAAGGCTGATGCCGATACGGAGCCGCGGAAGACTTAACGGGTTGCCGGGGCTCCGGCTCGAAGTGCAGGAGTAGGAACGGGGTGGTTTTTAGTCAGTAAGAGTCTGACACTCCCTCCCGCCTCACCCAGGCGGGAGAAGTCATTGGATGATTTTCCCCCCTCAAAAAAAAAGGACTATGTTTGTATTGTTAGAAAGTTCTTAAAGTAAAATCAGTAAGTAGCATTTTTTTCAAAAGCTTCGCGTGAGTCTAGGTGGGAAACCAAATTAAAATAAAACAAATGACATTTTCGTGACGTCAGCCATCTTCTTTGTACCCCTACAATCTGTGTTAAGCAATCGCTGTAAAAGAAGAATACACAAAAATGTATGGAGCCAATGGCCACAAGGGGGGACGATCTCACAAATGTGACTAGCGGTGACAAGGACGGGGGAGGGGCAATAAATCATTAAATTCGTGTGACGTAATCTATAGATGACCCCCAATGATAAACAGCTTGGTGATACGAAACAGTTATAATACAGTTTTGTTTCAGTTAAAAACAGATTATTTCTATATGTACTGACTAAGTTTGTTTAGCAAGATGTGACTATAAAATGATATTATTTTTAGTCACTAAAATAAAAATACTATTTCTACAACTTTCTAGTAGACGCGCAAGAGATCAATTAAAAGTAAAATAAAGATTGATCTGTACGAGAAGAATACATGCTCAGCATATTAACTAGACATTATAGCTTAGTTGACCTAGACATCTTGCAGGAAAAAATGCAAGAGAATCTTAAAATTGAAGAGGAGTACCGTGAGGCGGCTGAAAGACTTCGAGTACTAACATTAGCTGCTCGTAAGAAGCGAGTGAACGAACGACTGTCGCAGAACATCAAGCGGCTGAACTTCATCATGTTCTGGCCACACTGCCACCAGGCGCACTACGATCTGTACGAAAAATGGGACATGATCAGTAAGTACTCCACCCACAATCCTACACCGACTCATACTAAAATGCGAAAGTTTGTAATGATTTATGTTGGTATGTATATTTGATACTCTTTCACAAAAAACGACTCAAGCTATAGAACTCGCTTTTAACAGTGGCCAATTATTTACTTACATCGTAATTTCTTAATCTAAAACTCCTTCTCCATCTAGATATAACTGTGGCCGCCAAAGATACGTTCCAGTTGGACGAGAAGACTGCGCGGGAGGCGCTGTACATGAGCGATGTGGACACCAACGAAGCGTGTCTCCACGCACTCCTGAGCGGCAAAGTTCTGGTTGTGCTATTCAAAATGTTTGAGACTGATACCCGAGATTTCGTCAGTGAGTGCGGCCCAAGTACCTAGAATCTTCGTCCCAAGTACCATTTAACTTACAATCATCATAATATCGTACCTACATCGTATAGTACATCATTATATTGCATGTTCAATGAAAATGTCGATGACACCTTGATTTTTATACAACTCAGAATTGATGCGCTACGCTTTATATGAAGAGATACCTATCCCCAAGGAGGACGTGCCTCCTGAGAAGCAAGTTCCTCTAGTACCTGCTTACGAGCGCTACGCTACAATCAGTAAAACTGCTAGAGAGATCCGCCGAGACCGACACAACGCTAAACTGCAGAAAATGGTAAATAAAAAGAAATTTAATATTTTTCTATACGAAGGGTACGCTGATATTTTGCATTGAACATTAGTAGTAAAAACATCGATTGAACAATATTTAACCGATATAATTTAGCGCAGAACATAGGAAAAGTACCCTTTGCATATCTTATGTATAATAAACTCCCACAGAAAGAAGAAAGAGAAGAGTTAGAACGTCTTCTAGCTGAGCAGGAACGGTTGGCGCGAGAAGCCGAGCAAGAGGCAATCAGGCTAGAGAAACAGCGGAAAGACGAGGAAAGGATGGCGCGGCTGGCTGCAGGGGTAACATTTTTAACAATATTTTTGTTGTTGACAATGTTAACAATATTTTAGTCCTAACACATCAAACATTTGTTTGGTGGAATTAGCGCGAGGGTGTATAGGTATAAAAAAACGTATCTTGCTAGACATTTTTTGTAATTCAAAGTTAGCCTTGGACAAGTTAGACTTTAACACAAGGATGGTGAATGAACAATTAATATTCTAAATTGACTAACTCTTACTGAGCTTTGCTTTCCGCGTAGCCGCGTACCTAAAGATTTACAATAAATTTCATATTTAGTTACCAGCTGAACCAGAGCCTGAGCCTACACCAGTAGCGGCTCCACCAGAGGAGGGTGAAGCAGGGGAACCTAAAGAAGGAGAGGAAACAGGGGAAGGTCAGGTTGAGGGAGGCGAAGAGAAACGTGAGGCAACAGAAACTGTGTCAGACGTAGCCACTACTCTCACAGAAACGACTCCAGGAGACGCAGTACGTACTACGTCAAGATAACGCAATTATAAGTAGCTCCAATAATAAATATGGTCTTTATTTGATGTATGCCTGTTTTATGCAATAGTGTTTAATATGCAGCAGATGTAGATATTATATGAATAACGTTAATGAAACAGAATCCTGACGAAATAGCTGCAGAGGAAGCAGTTGTAGAGGAAACAGTTGTAGAGAAAAAAGAAGAAGAATTTGATTCAGACGTTGAAATAGAGGGGGAGGACTACATCCCTCCAGGAGGATTATTCGTACCTGGACTGTACACCCCACCTAATGAACTAGCTAAAGCTAATGGGCTAGCATTGTTCTATCCTAAGGTATGTTTTAGTAGTTTTATATTTGTCACTCTTACGCTCGATGAACGCCCAAATACTGAAAGGCTACTCAATTTTAAGTTGTACTTAAATATCGTGCTGTCTCTGTCATTTTGCAAAGAATTTATAGTGACAGAACTATACTTAAGCGCAACTTAAAATTGAGTAACGTTTGAGCATTTCACCGTAAGTCTATCAATTCCACTGTGGCGACACGTCGTTTCAAATGACAGCTCACGCACATAGACCATCGATGAAAACAAACCAACGGATGATGTCGCAAAATCCTACATCGCATGATATGTGTAGTTTACATGCGAATTAACACGTATAGAAAATCCCAACGAACAACTGTTGAGCAGAAAGCCCGCCAGACACGAACACCTCGCATGGTCGAAGGATCCTCCTTCTCCGATCTTAGGGAACTTTACTCTCTGTTTCCTAAACCACTCCCAGTTTCGTCATTTGACCAGTTGACTCCCAGTCACCTGTAGATTTCGTCATTCCATCGGCTATGCTTTTTTATTTTCTTTGTCTCTTCTTTATCACAAACTCGTTTTATTCCTTCACATTTTTTATGGATTAAGAGGCAAACGACAAACGTGCAGACGGATCACCTGATGATAATCAATCAGCGCCTTCCATGGACATTCGCAAGATCAGAGGAGTTATAATGTTCTCTTTTCTTGAGTGTCCCACGTGAGGGTTCACGGAGACTATAAAGTTCGGATTTGGTTGCAGCAAGTAACGACCTTGGCAGAGAAAATAGAGACGGAGTACCTGCCACCCCATGTGCTCGTCATATTCCCCATAGACAAGCGATATGACGTGCAGGATGTTGTGAAACAGTATTCGTCTGAGATCTTAAATGTAAGTAATTATTTGTAACAAATTGTGCGTGCACACACTTAGGACTAAACACGGTCTTAACCGTTTACAAGCACACGTTTTAATTTATAGACCTCATCTATCTAGTTGTACAAAAATGAAACCCGTTTCCCGTTGTCACGCCATAACTTGAGAACGGCTAGACCGATTTGGCAGTATTTTTTTTATTGTGTTTGTTATCGTCAGGAGAAAGTTCTTATGACAGAAAAAAGTCCTGAAAATCCTACGGGAATGGGAGAAACGGGATTGCGCGTACGAAGTCGCGGGCAGTAGCTAGTTATTTATAATGCTACGACTTTACAACAAGTTTAATAATATTACAGATGGGCATCTTTGTCGGCGAGGATCCATACAACGCAGAGCATGTAGCTTACAGCATCAAGCAGTACGATAAGATGGAACGACCGAGAAGATAGTATGTGTATACTATGGACTATATCTATATGGGACCATATGTGGGATTTTGTCAGACAACTAAAGCCGCACGGCTAAAATCCACTGTCTTAATGTTTGTAGTTCGCAAGTGGTTTGAGCCAGCAAGCTCGAAAGTCGTGTAGCATCCGACTCTTGTCGCGCGGCAGCCGCGGCCGGCCGAAAGAGGCTGGTGACTATCAGTGAAATCGACCGTGTAAACGGTCAGTTTCAGGCGATCGCCCGCCGCATTCTACTCAATTTTTCGAAGGAATGACCGACCAGTGGAGTTTAGTCCACAGTGTAAATAGGCTTGAGTTGATAGACTAAACGCACGGCGCGGTAAAAATCGTGCGACTTTAATGACTCATGCAGCCCCCCATAACGTGTGTCATGTTTTTTTTTTTTTTTTCAGTTTATTTTGGACGGGGTTTTTATCCTAGGTATAGGACATGACAACCCCATTGTATGCATCATTAGCATAGCATAACTACAACTCTGATAAAATTTATAAAAATTAGAGGATAATAGGGCGACGTCAAGAACCAAGCTACTGTGGGAGCACTGAAAGTAAACTGCAAAACATCTTTGCTTTCTTTGACGTTGGGGTTGATAAAATAGTTTGCGCGATACCTACATCAAATTTATTTAGTTTAAGTGCTCCCATCAGCACCCTTCGCTCCTGACTATTTTTGACACATTCCATCAAAATATGTTGCAGATCTTCTTCAACATGGCAATAATCACAATTCGGGGAGTCTACTTTTCTCATCATGTACGCAAATTTTTTTGATGGAATATGACCAGATCTAAGTCTACACAATATTCTCGTCAAGTTTCTGTTCATTTTATTCATTACAAACCATGGCATGCGAAGAGGCTCAGACTGTAGTGTTCTGTACCAAATTCCCTTATCTTTAGATATTAAATTAAAGTGTGCTTTCCATTTGTTGTAATTTAACATTTTGAGTTCAGGTAGTATTTCTGAATGATCAGGTAAGGTGTTATATATAATTCCTTCACTGCACCCCAATTTGGCTAACTTGTCCGCCTCTTCGTTACCATGTATTCCGGTATGAGCTGGAATCCATTGCAGTTTCACCGCTATGCTTTTGTCCTGTAATTGCAATATCTTTTCGAGTACTGCATAGGCTATCGGTACACCTCTGACTCCAGAGGCGCATCGAGCCAAATGTTGTAAAGCACAACGTGTGTCATGTGGTGGGCAGCTTCGACCGGCTGGCACTGATGGTGTCCCGCAAGCGGAGCCTGCCACTGCTACAGCTGGCGGGACTCAACCCGGTCTACATCAGCGCGGACGTCACGAGCGGGGAGCGGGAGTGTCTGTCCATGTTCCCGGTGGGATACGGAGACGAATACGTGGAAATTGAGAGCGTCAAAGAAGAGGAAGTTGTGGTGATGAACTCGCTCTTATACTTAAATTTCTTTATATCTCCGTCTCCTCATCTGTTTCTGTTCACACCTCCTATAAGATGTGCCTTAACATTGAATATTAACCAGGTACTCATCAGTATTTCACGTGGAACCATGAGAGACTGTCGTCTACACTGCATAACCAGCCAAGAGTATTATTTACATATTTATTTAAGTTAAATAAATAAATAAATAATCTTCTTTAGACTACTTCACAGACTGTCAAACACTAGTTGATAACCGTCTCTGGTTCCGACTATTATCCAATAGTAAACCATTATCAATATTCATACGACATCACATCAGAACCCTATATACCTTCTGAACGTATAATTAAAGGCGTGATGCTTGATTCTTTCACTAAAAATAAACTTTTTGGTTTACAGGAAGTAGTGGAAGTCGTACCGGAAGTAGTAGAGGTATGCCAACTTATCACGCTGTTAGATTTTTTTATATATGTATATATATTTGATGAGCTGACGTTTGACCACTATCCTGCCTGGTGGTAAGTGATGATGCGGTCTACGATACAGACGTATTGAATGAGGATACATTATTCGATTCTTATCATATCATATGCTTCAAGGCGTGCCTTTCCAACCCCAAAAAGAAATTAGCACTGGTCACTGACGCCACGTTTGCTTAACGCGGTTAGTAATTGGGCCACCGGTAACCTCACTCACGCTACGAAACACAACACAAGCGTTGCTTCACGGCAGTTTTCTGTGAGGCCGTCGTATCACTCCGGTCGAGCCGACCCATTCGTGCCGAAGCATGGCTCTCCCACACAATGCTTTGGCAATAAAAATATTTTGTTTCTAACAGACTCCAGAACCTACCGAACCTAAACCGGCAGAGGAAGAGGACGAGGAGGACGAGGAGGGCGCCCAGGAGGCGTGAAACATTTATGAAAGGTTATAGACATCACCGGTCTATATGACGCACATTAAACGGTTTCATTAGCTTGCCCAATTTGTTTGTTTGATTGAAATTTATTAAATGGAATTTTACCCCTTTCGTATGTCGCGGAGAACCTAAAAGGTTACCGGGGCTCCGGCTCGACGTGCACGAGAAGGAACGGGGTGGTTTTTGGTCAGTAAGAGTCTGACACTCTCTCCCGCCTCACCCAGGCAGGAGCAGTCATTCGATGATTTTCCCCCCTTAAAAAAAAACCTTTCGAATGACTCTTGATGACCATGCCATTTGTCTAATCGCCTTGTTTTATCGCCACCCTAACGTCCGGCCCGCGACCATTTGTCTTCTAACGTCGAGCCGCACGCGGCATCCGAACCGAGTGGACGTCGCAACTTCGGCGTAGAACCGTAATGACTAGGATACAGAAAAAAATACGAAAACAAAGGTCTACGAACGAACTATTTCATCATCTGTATAAATAATCTGTCAACTCAAAACTAGAACGGAGTAAAACACCACTCGTCGCTTTGGATACTACAGTATCCGTGGGAGTATGACGCTACTTTTTATTAGATACCCTACTATCCATGGACGTCAGAGTGGATAGCCTTCCTCAATAAATAAATAAATAAATAAAAATAAATAATAATTAATATATCTGTGGAATTATCCAATACAAAACCGAACGAGCGCCTAGCTTCACTGACGGACAGACTGACAGACTATTATTTATTTTATATTTGTTGACGTTTCAAAAGTACCAAATTACGGCTTAACTCGTCGAGTACCGGTTTTATAGACACAATTAACTCGTCGAGTACCGGTTTTATAGACACAATTAAAGAACAATAGGTCGCGGTCACCGGTGACCGCTTGGTGTTTGACAGATTAAAGAACAATAGGTCGCGGTCACCGGTGACCGCTTGGTATTTGACAGTTTAATTGAAATATACGCTTTTGTGTTTGAGTTTGAGTTTGAGTCAAGAAGAATTTTTCAAATCGGACTAGTATCTCCTGAAATCGTACCTGAGATTCCAACTTTATTACTAAATAGTATAAAACAAAGTCACTATCCGCCGTCTGTCTGTCCCTATGTATGCTTAGATCTTTATCTAAAACTACGCAACGCATTTTGATGCTGTTTATTTTAATAGATAGAGTGATTCTTAAGGAAGGTTTATATGTAGGTATAATACATGCATATTGCTCCCATGTGAAGCCGGGGCGGGTCGCTAGTATGATATATAAGTAAGTATACAGCATATAAGATACGAATGTAAGATTTTTCCACAAGTACCTCAAATAGGGATATCAAAAGTAAAGGTTTGATTGGTAGAATACATAACATGAAATCACGCCTTTTATCCCTGAAGGACTAGGCAGAGATGCACATTACGACACTTCCAGCCTAAGGCTGGTTTTACAGTCACACGTTTCGGCAGCGCCGTCGGAGCGCGCGCGCTCGGATATATATTGGGGTATTAGTAGCGTTTCAAATTCGCGCGCTTGAGCAGCGCCGTTCGTTGAACGCGTCCTATTCGCGCGGCGCGGTCGAAGCGCGCGCCGCTCGTGCGCTTCTACGGCCATTGTGCGTTTTAGTCTCACGCCGTTGAGACGTGCCGTTAGGTAGGTACTGTTGTGTACAAAATGAATCACATCGATACGGGTCGAGTAATTGACGAAGTGCGAATTATGGGGATGCGACGTATGCTGGATCTTCGTAAAGAAAACTCTAACTTGCACAGTAATTCGTCGAAACTGCTGGTTGATAGGCGAAAATATTTATAAAATTTATAACTATTTTCTCGTAAATCAGAGAAAGATGTTACGTGTTCGCCTCTCAGTAACCTTGTAGCGTTATAAGGATCAACACCTACTGTTCTTCGACGTTTTTGTTGCCTTTTTTTCCATAAAAAGTAAATAGCCAGTACTCTAACCGCATTGCCGTTCATTTTGTATCTGTTTGTACACGACTGTCTCACAGCAGCGAAACGCGCCGTACTAATGTCGTTTTATGGTGCACCGCTGTTCAAACGCGCGCTGTCCAACAGCGCGCTGTCCAACGGCGCGTCTAGCGGCGTGACTGTAAAACCAGCCTTATGACATTCACATTGTACAATGTAACACTCACTTACGTCAGTACTTACATTAATCTGTCACTCACTCTCTTTTCACTCACTTTTTACCGACTTCAAAAAAAGGAGGAGGTACTATGTTCGGCTGATTGTTTTTTTTTTTTTACCCACCCACTGATAGGTTAGAAGTCGGTAACCATAAGCTCATATCATAATGATATAACTTAATGTCCACAAAATTGTTAATTAGATACCTATTAAGGTTTTAAGTAATGAATAATTTTGTATGGAACTTATGGCACCGACTTCTTACCTATCAGTGGGTGGGTAACCTATCAGTACTAATAATAGTTATTTTTTGCTTTTTAGTATTGACTTTTTGTTTGTTATTAGTTTTCACTATTTATATTATGAGTCCCATGTAATAGGGGGTGAGCCTATTGCCATATACCGGGCACAACTCCAGACTCCGTGCTACTACTGAGATTTTTTTAATGATTGGTAGTATAGAGCTCGTTAAAACAGTTTAACATGAAAAATACTTTTAAGTTTTACTAAAACCGCTGCGGTTCCGTCGTAACGTAGTCAGGACTTATAGTCATAGAAAGATTAGAAAGCGCTACCGTCTGCCAGCCTCGTCACCTGTACAGTCGCCATTCCTCGACATACATGATAAGTATCATCATCATCATCATCATCAACAGTCTATAAAAGCCCACTGCTGAGAAAAGCCTCTTCTCACACGGAGAAGGTTTGAGCATTAACTCGTTGAGTACCGTCATTATAGACACAATTAAAGAACGATAGGTTGCGCTCACCGGTGTCCTCGCGGTGTTTGACAGTTTAATCACCACGCTTGCTCAATACGGATTGGCGATTCCAAAATTAAGTCGGTTAAAATAATACAACAATGTTCTAAATATAAACCTACTTACCAACTACAGAATTATTACGTTCATCCTTAGTTTATATTTAGATAAATTTTTCAATTTCACTACATAAAATAAATAATCTTATGGATTATAAATTCCATTGCAGTGTGTCATGACCCTAACTTTTATCTACAGATATCGACATAATATTCTATCGTATTTTCGTAAGTATATAACAAACGCACAGACGCGTCGACGAGCACTCGCCGAGAGTCGAACGGACGCTTATATGAGTTTCGGACACACGGTGAGAGCCGTCAGAACGCGTATATGAGTTTCCGGCACACGAAAAGGGCAAACATTGAACGCAATAGTGCGTGCGAGGCACTGTAGTTATGTCTTATAATTCGGGCACTGGAAAAATCCACAGGGCAGTGAATGCGTTAATTAGAAATAATAAGTCCCGGTTTCCTCACGATTAGTCACGATGTTTTCCTTCACCATTTGTCAGTGGTGTCTAAATAATCTTAGAAAGTACATATAACTGAATCGGAAAAAGTCACATTGGTACTTGCTGTTGGTAGGTTTCGAACCCGCACCCTCATGCATGAGAAGTGGGCGTCTTAAACTTCCGGGCCACACGACACAAGAATTTGTAGTGACAGCACTACACTCAGCGCGACTAAAAATTAAGACTAAACTATTTCAGACTAAAAGTTAAACGTTTGAGTATTTGGACTTACTACATTAATTAAATACCTAAATAAAAATTAAATGAATATTTTTTTATTTATAAAATATTAACAATAGGGTAGTTTCCTAAATTTTATTTTAATGTCCGTCTGGTAGATTAATTTAAAACATTAGACACGTATTTTTTCTTTTCTCACAAAATTAAATACTTTCGACTATATAATATTAATTTGAAATATCGTGTAACGTCACAGCTTATTATTTAAGTATCATCAACAGTCTATAAATGCCCACTGCTGAGCAAAGCCTCTTCTCACACGGAGAAGGTTTGAGCATTAATTACCACGCTTGCTCAATGCGGGTTGGCGATTTCAAACTTATAATTAGAAATTATAAGTCCAGGTTTCCTCACGATGTTTTTCCTTCACCGATTGTCAGTGGTGTCTAAATAATCTTAGAAAGTACATATAACTCGGAAAAGTCACATTGGTACTTGCCATTGGTAGGTTTCGAACCCGCACCCTCATGCATGAGAAGTGGGCGTCTTAAACCTCCGGGCCACTACGACATTTTTATCTAAGTATTGCAACTTAATACGAGAAAATAAAAAAATATGTATCTAATATTTTTTCATTATCTAACTGACGGACTAATTAGGTTTTTAATTTTGATACCCTGGAAACTACCCAATTCAATAATATTTATTTAGAGGTATATTATAGGTACCATAATCCGCTTGGTGAAGGATTACAAAAGATAACCCACTCGGCGGTACAGATTGGACATCGCAGTTCAAGAGCATCAAAACTGTCCGTAAGCGTGTAAAACCTTTGCATATAGGTACCTACTTTTTTAAGGGGGAATAATCATCGAATGACTGCTCCCACCGGGGTGAGGCGGGAGGGAGTGTCAGACTCTTACTGACTAAAAACCACCCCGTACCTTCTCCTGCACGTCGAGCCGGAGCCCCGGTAACCCGTTAGGTTCTCCGCGACATATAGGTACCTTACATCACATTTTCACCAGTAAATTCATTTATCAACGAAAATAAATGAAAAATTAATTGGAACAAGTATCGGATAAAACGGTGGTATGTGCTTTGGTACCTAGTTATTGTTTGTACGTAGTTATTGCATATATACCGAGTGAGACTGGGTAGAACGTTTCTCAGTATTTCCTGAAGCAACATTTTCTTGAAAACGAAGTAAAATTTAATGTACCTTAACACGTTAACCGCCGCGTAGGTCACCGGTGACCTACGTTAGCGGAGGATTTGCCTTCAGCAGTTTTCTGTCGTCAGTCAAAGGCTGGCAGGCTTAAATATAAAGGACAATGTTGCCTGTTA